ATCGTGCCATTGCACTCCAGCCTGGGTAACATGAGTGAAACTCCGTCTCAAAAAAAAAAAAAAAAAAAAAGATCTGTCTCAAAAAAAAAAAATTAAAAAAAGAAAGAAAAAAAAAAATATATATATATAAAATCATTTGGAGTGAAGGGCTAGGATGGACACATAGAGGAAGGAGGCTGCCCCTGTGGTGAAAGTTAGATCAAATGAGATAGCAAATCCAAAGTACCTGGTGTAGGGCTGTGCCAAGTGCTGTGGGAGATACAGGGATGAATTTAAAAAAAAAAAACAAAACCCTTTTGGAATATTAATGCCTGTCTTCTCCTCACCCCTAAATGACAAGCTTCATGAGGGCAGAGAGAAGGTTTTAATTTGGGATAATATTCTCCTTCCCTGATCTTACCCTTGGAGAACATCTGAGCTGTGGGTCTGCAAGTTATTTCCAAGCTTTCCTTCTGTGCAAGGCATATGGGAATCTGTCATGGATCCCTTTGCAATGCCTCTGTCTGCCTGGCAGGAGCTGAGTGACTGGAAAGCCAGAGCCCACTTAGCCCATTTGTCTCCTGGTAAGACAAAGCAGAGTGTCATCTCTACCAGTCTCCAGGCACAGTGGGGAGCTGGGCTGGCAGATCCAGCAGTTTCCCTGTGGCTGATGATCCTCCAGCATGAGAAAGTGGGGCTGTTACAAGCCCAGGAGGTAGAAGATAGAAGACCCATGGGGGACACCTGTGATGGGTGGTGCTAATCTTAGAGACATCTCTAATAGGGCACCCTGCCTCGCTTTCCCCTGTAGCTTGGGAGTGCCAGAGAGTGGGGCAAAACTGGGGATTGGTGCTGCTGCTGAGAGGTTTTTTGTTGTTGTTGTTAATCAAACACCAGACTTGGATTTTGCCATTTTTTTAAATTAATGTCATCTTTTTGTTGTAGGATCCAATCTAGGGTACCACATTGCAGGGCTTTCTAGTCTCTTCTAATCTGTGGCTGTTTCTCACTCTTTCCTTATTATTATTTTTTTTTGAGATGGAGTCTCGCTCTGTCACCAGGCTGTAGTGCAGTGGCACGATCTCTGCTCACTGCAGTCTCTGCTTCCTGGGTTCAAGCGATTCTCCTGCCTCAGCCTCCCAAGTAACTGGGACTACAGGCACACACTGCCACACGCAGCTAATTTTTGTGTTTTTGGTATAGATCGGGTTTCACCATGTTGGCCAGGATGGTCGCAATCTCCTGACCTCGTGATCTGCCCACCTCAGCCTCCCAAAGTGCTGAGATTACAGGCATGAGCCACCACACCCGGCCCTTTCCTTATTTTTTAAATGATCTTCACAGCCTTGAGGAGTCCTGGCCAGGTGTCCTGTAGCATATCCCTAAATCTGGGTTTGTCCGAGGTTTTTTTCATGGTTAGATTGGAGTTATGGGTATTCAAAAAGAATACCCCAAGCCGGGCACAGTGGCTCACACCTGTAATCCTAGCACTTTGGGAGGCTGAGGTGGGTGGATCACCTGAGGTCAGGAGTTCAAAACCAGCCTGGCCAACGTGGTGAAACCCCATCTTTAAAAAAAAAAAAAAAAAAAAAAAAACAAGAAGAATACCCCATAGGGGAAGTGCCCCTCTCATCACATCATATCAGGAGGTACCTGAGATCCACACATCACTAGTGACGATAACCTTCATCACTTGGTTAATGTCATATTTGTTAGCCTTCTCCACAATGAAGTTACTATTTTTTCCCTTTTTATACTCCATTTTTGGAGGCAAGTCACTAAGTCTAGCCCACTCTGAAGCGGAGCGGGGTGGGGGGGTGGTATCTACATATGTTAAATGGAGTCCTTTTTTGGAGAAGGTTCTTAAGATTCTTAAGATGAAAGGCGTTTCCCTCTGCTTGGCTCTTCACCAGGCGTCTACATGAGACATCTGCCATTCTGTCCATCACACCTGCCATTTATCTTTGCTTACCACCGATCTTATTTCAAAAAGTTACTCATGGGGATCATGGAAGTACGTGCAGTCCTAAAATAAAAACATGACTAGATGGGAGAAATTCAGGTAAAGAAAGAAAAATGACAGGACATAATATAAGGCCTTGTATAGTAGATGGAATTTTATGCTGAATTCAGCTCTGAACCTCCTGGTAACCAAAGAAAAGTGGTAAAAGTCTGTTCCAAAACTCATAGTGGTTATAAAATAAAGACAAATTGATTACTTGGGAGAAGCATACCTTTTCCTGGTATTAAGATCTAAGCAAAATGCCTTTCTGTGCAGCCTCTGAAAAGACAGACATTGTGTGATACATAGATAGAGCAGAGGTCAGGAAACTATGGGGCATATCTGGTCCACCATCTGCTTTTGTAAATAAAGTTTTATTGGAATAGAGCATGCCCTTTCATTTACATATTGCCTGTGACTGCTTTCTCACTTTCTTATGCAAAGCTGCGTAGTTGTGACAGAGACCATATGGCCCACAAAGCCTGAAATATTTACTATCTGATCTCTTAGAAAAAATGTTTCCTAATTCCATATCTAGAGCAAAGCTCCTTAGCCACCCCCACCCCCGCTCCCACCAAACTAGGACTGTAGGACTAATGTGCATTTTTGGTAATGTCCTTCAGGTTAGGCTGGTAGAGCGATTCTCTGGGTATAGTACATGAGAAAACCCCACTACAGGGGCCCAGAAGGCAAGGCCTAAGAGCCACTCTTATATGCATAAGAGCTGGGTCTTGTCCCCTTTAGTTAGCTTATTCTCATTTAAATTTATGGCATGGTACCTGTTCCTAAACCTTACTGGTTAGAGGCAGGTGGTAATTGGTAATTGCAAGCTGCCTCTTGCTGCATTTCTCTGTGTGGTTATGGTGCCAGCAAAACCTGTGTGGTCCTTTTTTTTTTTTTTTTTCCCTGAGATGGAGTCTTGCTCTGTCGCCCAGGCTGGAGTGCAATGGCGCAGTCTCGGCTCACTGCAGCCTCTGCCTCCCAGGTTCAAGCGATTCTCTTGCCTCAGCCTCCTGAGTAGCTGGGACTATAGGCACGTGCCACCACGCCTGGCTAATTTTTGTATTTTTAGTAGAGACGGGGATTTCACCGTGTTAGCCAGGATGGTCTCGAACACCTGACCTCATGATGCGCCCACCTTGGCCTCCCAAAGTGCTGAGATTACAGGCGTGAACCACCGTACCCAGCCTTTCCCCCCTCCCCCCCAAATCATTGAGCTTGCTGTAAAACAGCAAAATGGGTCTATCAGAACCAGGAGCAACTGTACCACCCAAGGGACATTTGGTAATATCTGGTGACATTGGCAACATTTTTATTTGTCATATTTGGGGGTTGGGGCTGACAGGTGAAGTATGACTGGCATCAAGTGGGTACAAGCCAGGGATGCTTCCCTCCATCCAACAATGCAGAGATCAGCCCCCCACAGCAAACACCTGATCCCAGAGGGCAATAGTGCTGAGAAGCCTTGTTTTTTTATTTTATTTTATTTTATTTTATTTTATGTTTTTGAGACAGGGTCCATCTCTTCACTAAAAAATAGCCAAGTGTGGTGGTGCATCCCAGTTACTTGGAAGGCTGAGGCAGGAGGATTTCTTGAGCCCAAGAGTTTGAGTTTGCAGTGAGATGTGATGGCACCGTTGCACTCCAGCCTGAGCGACAGAGGGCAACCCTGTCTCTGGGGGAAAATAAATACAGCACCATTACATGAGGCACAACTTGGCAGCTACCAGGAGAAGCTCATAGAGGTCCAAAGTAGAGAAGAAGATGGATCTGCTTGGGTCCTGGAGCAGAGTGAATCAGAAAGCAGTTTGCTAAGGCATCGGGGCTTAAAATGGTCCTTAAACACTGATGGGATTAGCTGGGTGTGGTGGCCCCTGTCTGTAATCCCAGCTACTCAGGAGGCTGAGGCAGGAGAATCACTTAAACTCAGGAGGCAGAGGCTGCAGTGAGATCATACCACTGCACTCCAGCCTGGGTGGCAGAGCAAGATTCTGACTTAAAAAAGAAAACAACTCACAGGTTTTTAGTTACTAGTTGTGGAGAAGAGCGTCCCAGGGTGATATGGAGCACATAGACAGGATTTATACATACAGGGTTTCATTTGACTGGAAACGTACACGTGGGTGAATGGTAGGCAGCATGGTGAGATCTCAGGTCAGGCCAATGTTGTGTAGGACCCTTGATTCCCTATGATTTAGTTTTCAGTGTGGTGGTTCATGGGGGGCCTTGAAAGTTTTCAGAGTAACAGAATGATGGGATTGGAACTGTTCTTGACAGAAGATGCAAATAGAGCTGGCTCACAGGTAGCGTTTTTGACATAGAGGCTGTAATCAGGGGCCAGTTAGAGGAGTGTTTATAGCCCTCCTTGGCCAGAGGAAGTACGGGCATGATTTAGAGATGCATGTGAATCTGCAGAGGCAGGCCACAGGACTAGGCCTGTCTTTAGATGCAAAGCAGGAGAAGAGAGCTATCAGATGGCTCTGAAAGTTGAACCTGAGCAATTTGAAAGGTAAAGGAAAGGAGATTTGGAGTGGGAAAGAGTGAGTCACGGTGGACAGAGGATGTGCATTGTGATATTCACCTGTTTGTCTCTAAGTGTGGTCTCTCAGTCCTGCTGTCCTCATAAGGAGTGATTCTGACTTCTCTACCTTTCCTATGGAGATTTTTCTTTAGTGTAAATCATGTGGTTTGAGGCAGGTGCTGAAGCGATTTCTTTGTTCCTGGGGATTTACTGTGAAGAGTGGCCTCTCATCTGCTGTGGTTTGGAAGGTGGGAGTTCCCACCTGCTTTGACAGAAGGCAGTGCACACAAGACTGGTTAGAGTCTCTAGACTCCTTTTAGCTCTGCCACCAGGGACCAAGAGGAAGTGGGAATGAGAAGAATGGAAAGGATTGCATTAATTTTTGCTTATTTATTTTTTGTGAATGCTTATTGAGTGAATAAGGCAGTACAGCTTATTTGCCTTTTTTTCCTGTCTGTTATTTTGGGATCCAAGTATTCATTTTAAAATCTCCTACAGGTATCTGTGGACCAAACAGTCACTCCTGTGTTGGACACCACCAGTTTGGGCATAAGCACAGGCCAATCTGTGGACAGAGGCAACAGCCAGACCTTTGGGAACTCCCAGAACGTAGGAGAACAGGGCTACTCCTCCACAAACTCCAGTGACAGCAGGTGAGATTCAGAGTGGCCGAACTCCTGTTCCTGGGAAGTGGAGACAGTCTGACCTCAAAGGCTGCCGAGGCTGGGAATCCAAAGCTCTGGGCCAAGTTCTGACTCTGCCACAAGTCACATGGGACCCTGGGCAAGTTAGTTCTTATCCACACCTGTATGAAGGGACTAATGATCTGTTTCCTGCCATCCTCACAGGTTAGCTAAGAGACTCCCACAGAGATGTAGGAAAGTGTGAAGCACCACATAGGAGTACAGGGTTTCTGGAAGAGGACCCTGCCTAGTCTGTCTTGTTCACTGTGGTGCCTGTGGCACAATGCCTTGCATGTCATAGCATGCAGTCACTAAGGAAAAGGACAAACAGTGGATGAATCACTAATTGTGGCCAAACATGACTGTTTTTCTTCTATTCCTTAGTAACCAGAGGGAAAAGAAGTGCACCAGCTTTTAATGCTCTTGTCAATTCTGAAAAGCCTTTTTACTTTCTTCCCAGCCGTGTTTGCTTTATAATAATTATGCTGGCTGGGTACAGTGACTCACACCTGTAATCCCAGCACTTTGAGTGGCCAAGGCAGGCAGATCACAAGGTCAGGAGTTCGAGACCAGCCTGGCCAATATGGTGAAACCCTGTCACTAGTAAAAATTTTTTAAAAAGCTGGGTGTGGTGGTGGGCACCTGTAGTCCCAGCTACTCGTAAGGCTGAGGCAGGAGAATCGCTTGAACCCGGGAGGCGGAGGTTGCAGTAAGCCAAGATTACACCGCTGCACTCCAGCCTGGACAACAGAGCAAGACTCGTCTGGGAAAAAAATTATGCCCCAGTCTGTTCTTATTGTCTCACTGTACTGTCTAAGCAGTCCTTGGCAAAAATCATCTAAGAGACTTAACTTTTGTATCCCTGTCCCTAAGAGCAGGAAGTTCTCTGGGGCTGCTCACCTGCCTCTGTCACTTTGTTTCCCTTATGTCATAAATTCTGGGCTGGTTTAATCTGTGTCTCCTCCACTGCTGCCTATTCATTCTGGCCAGTAGAGGTGATGGTCATTTCAGAAGCAGGAACAGGTCTGGACTTCTCTGCTCCCTGCTTTCACTCATGCCCATATCCCCATCAAGCCTACCTGGCTTTTTGGCTTTAGGCATGGAGGAGATTGGAGAGGCTGCCCAATGCATAGAAAATGAGTCCATTTATCTGATTCCTCATTGCTTACAAGGGTAGAACAGTAGGTTTTCTTCTGCTTTCAGAAGAAATGAGGGATCAGGGATGTTTAGGCTGGAAGTGAAAAAAAAAACAAAAAATGACATGGCAGGTAGAATCAGGATCAATGACTGAAAAATACGGAGAACAGATCTTATTTCATGATAAAGAACTTACTAGCAATGGGTCTGCTGTTTGGCCAAGTTCTCTGCCATTGAAGATGTTCACATAGATAGGACAGCCTCTTGCCCAGACTCATGGTCTCAGCAGAGACCCAGACATGAGAAGGAAGTTCATTTCAGGCCGGGTGCAGTGGCTCACGCCTGTAATCCCAGCACTTTGGGAGGCTGACGTGGGTGGATCACCTGAGATCAGGAGTTTGAGACCAGCCTGACCAACATGGAAAAACCCCGTCTCTACTAAAAACACAAAATTAACCAGGCATGGTGACACTTGCCTGTATTCCCAGCTATTTGAGAGGCTGAGGCAGGAGAATCACTTGAACCCGGGAGGTGGAGATTGCAGTGAGCCGAGATCGCGCCATTGCACTCCAGCTATGTAGCTTTTCTATGGATGGGCAACAAGAGTGAAACTCCATTCAAAAACAAAAAAGAGGACCTCATTTCAAAAGTCTTTGAAAGCTTTTTCAAACCCTGAAATTCTGAAATGCTTCAGTGATTTCTGGACCCCTGAATAGTCATGAAGAGGAGTAGTCTGGGACTGATGAAAGGGAGAAGTTCAAAGAACTTGAGGAGCTTATGGATTAGCCCCACAACTGGCCCAGTTTGGTATGGTGGGTGGCCACTCAGCTGCTGAATATTAAGCACTTTTTATTTTTTTTTTGAGACGGAGTCTTGTTCTGTCACCCACACTGTAGCACAATCTCAGCTCACAGCATCCTCCGCCGCCTGGGTTCAAGCGATTCCCCTGCCTCAGCCTCCTGAGCAGCTGGGACCACAGGTGTGCGCCACCACGCCCAGCTAATTATTTTGTATTTTAGTAGAGATGGGTTTCACCATGTTGGCCAGGATGGTCTTGATCTCCTGACCTCGTGATTTGCCCGCCTTAGCCTCTGAAAATGCTGGGATTACAGGTTTGAGCCACCGCGCCCAGCTACATTAAGCACATTTTAAGGAACCATCATACCTTTGAGCAAGAATGTGGGCAACAGGTGGTGGACAGGGCTTTGGAGAGAGACTGACCTGGATTCAAATACCTGGATTCCAGATCCTGGTACTTCCTGGCTCTTTGACCTTCACCAGTTCTTTTAGTCAGTTTCAAAAAGTTGGTGTTAATTATTATTATTTTAGTATTGTTTACCACTTTTGGCTTCATGTGTGTCAGTCCTGTACATGTGCTCAGTATTGTATAGACATTCACCTCACATTAGCCCTCAAAGACAGGAATAGCATTAATCCCATTTTTCACGAGGAAACTGAGGCCAAGAAAAGCTACATAGCATGTTAGTGATGATACTGGGATTCTGTTCCCCATGTTCTTACCGTATTACCTAGCACTCTCTGGTCAGGATTAAATGAAATTACCTGTGAAAGGCACTTGGGGCAAACCCAAAGCAGTCCAGGGGGTTTCTTGTAAGTGGTTGGGCCTGAATAATATTGTTAACAGGAGAGATACTTACTAAGGGTAAGTTGGGATACAAAAGTACTTTGAATTCTAAATGTGTACATTTTATTTTATTTTATTTATTTTTTTGAGACAGAGTCTCACTCTGTCACCCAGGCTGGAGTGAAGTGAATGGCGTGATCTCAGCTCACTGCAACTTTCACCTCCCAGTTTCAAGCAATTCTCCTGTCTCAGCCTCCTGAGTAGCTGGGACTACATGCGTGCGTCACCATGCCTAGCTAATTTTGATATTTTTAGTAGAGACAGGATTTCACTATGTTGGCCAGTCTGGTCTTGAACTCCTGACCTCAAGTGATCCACCTGCCTCAGCTTCCCAAAGTGCTGGGATTACAGGCATGAGCCACCACACCTGGACCTAAATGTGTATATTTTAAAATAGGAACCCCCGCCATGAGATATCCTTCTGATATAGCCATCCCTAATTTACTGAAATACCTTTAGTGTCAACATTGTCCTGGTTTCCGGCTGCATAAGAAGTAGAGAATGTTCCTGATATTCATGCTCTTGACTGTATATGTGCCCTCTTGCTTTGCTGACCTGACACCTTGTGTTATAGCTCTCAGCAGCTGGTGGCAAGCTCCTTGACCTCATCCTCCACCCTGACAGAGATCCTGGAAGCCATGAAGCACCCCTCGTAAGTTTCTCATCACAGATATGAGAGTAGGGTTAGAAGGCTCCCAAAAGCCTGTGCCACAGCAATACTTAGGCAGTGTGGTTTGGTAGATTCATTCATGACTCTACTTCTCACCAGTTTTGAGACCTTGGGCAAGTTACTTGACCTCTCTGAGCTTCTGTTTCCTTGTTTGTAATTTGGGATTTTTTTTTTTTTTTCTGAGACGGAGTCTCACTCTGTTGCCCAGGCTAGGGTGCAGTGGTGTGATCTTGGCTCACTGCAGCTTCCACCTCCCAGGTTCAAGCGATTCTCCTGTCTCAGCCTCCTGGGTAGCTGGGATTACAGGTGTGCACCACCACACCTGGCTAATTTTTGTATTTTTAGTAGAGATGGGGATTCACCGTATTGGCCAGGCTGGTCTCAAACTCCTGACCTTGTGATCCGCCCATCTGGGCTCCCGAAGTGCTAGGATTACAGGTGGGAGCCACTGTGTCCAGCCAAGATGAGACTTTTTTAAAAATTAGTTAAGCCACAGGGTTGATGTAAGGATTAAATGAAATAATTGTGTGAGGTACCTAGTGTTATGCCTGACAAGTATAGGTATTCTCTGAATGTCAGTTCCCATCTTTTCCCTCTACCCCTTCTCTTTTACCCCCTGTAACAACTTCTTTTGTCCTCTCATGAGTATTTATCTGGGTCTAGGAATAGCTTAGGGACATTGCTTTATGGTAATAAATGCTCTAGTGGAAGTCCCTTTTTTTTTTCATCTTTCCTTCCACTTGTTGCCGTGGGACACACACATCCCCCCTGCTCCCACTTACTGTGTTGAAACCCAGGACAGGAGTCCAGCTGCTCTCTGAACAGAAGGGCCTCTCGCCTTACTGCTTCATCAGCGCGGAGGTGGTGCACTGGCTGGTGAACCACGTGGAGGGGATCCAGACACAAGCAATGGCCATCGACATCATGCAGGTGAGACAGCAAGGGGGACCCACGGAGCTGTCTGCTCAGGTCCTGAGAAACCAGGGCCTTAGAAGCTATCACCCTTTTCAGTAATGAGATCTGCAGGTTGGGTTTAGGGTCTGTTTTTAATAAGTGTGAGGCCTGTCTGGAATTGATGAAAGAACGAGTGTTGCTTTGAAATACACTGTATCTTGACTTAAAAACTGGGCAGAATTTATTGTCTGAACTGAAACGTTCTGGACAGAATTTGTGCACTTGTAAGCCTTAGAAAAATCTCTATGATTTTGGGGGGAGTGCCCTCCCTCTGACCTCAAGCTCCCCCGCCCCCGTTTCCCCTGGTCAATGCATGGTTACTTAAAACTCAATGCTGGATTCAAGGCTATGCCCCGGGGGTCTTTTGTCACCTGTACTTACTCTGTCAGCGCTCTTAGTACAACATGTTGAAGATCTATCTGTCTCTCATTTGTCTCCTGCCTCAACCAGCTCCTTGAGGGCAGGATCACCTCTTATTTTCCATTTCTGTATCACCAGTGCTAGGCATGTTGCTTGGCACCTGGTAGGCACTTAGAACCACGCTTGCTGGATTTAATTACACTGCTCAGAATTAGAACTCTGGAATATGGGAATATGACAGAACTGGAACAACAAGGAAATGGAAAAGGCCAGTTGACTGAGCCAGTTCATGCCACCCTGTCTGTACAGAGGCCCCCACTGGAAGTCAGTACTGTTTCCTCACCAGCTGAGTTGTCGTCATGGAAATGTTAAAATCAATAACTGATTTGAATAAGCATGTGATTCTCAGTTCTCTCTTTGAGGGTCTTGATGTGCTATTTTGCATAGCCTTTTCCTTACACACTCTCATCTCCCCTGAGAATTCGATTTCCTTGTTCAAATAATGAAATGCTACTACAGCAGTTAAAATGAATGAGCTGAAGGTGCATGTATCAACATGGATAAATGTCAGAAACATGATGTGAACTGGAAAACCAACTTACAAAATGATATAATATTGTGCCCTTTATTTGGAAATTTAAAATCCCACAAGAATACCTTATATTCTCTATTATACATGTTTATATAATAAAATTATTTAAGATTAATATTACACGAGGGGCCAGGCACAGTGGCTCACGCCTGTAATCCTAGCACTTTGGGAGGGTGAGATGGGCAGATCACAAGGTCAAGAGATCGAGACCGAGACCATCCTGGCCAACATGGTGAAATCCCATCTCTACTGAAAAAAAAAAAAAAAAAAAAA